TCTACCCTTCTCCACTTAAATACCAAGCTTTGCTTTGCATGGTGTGGGGGCTTGAACCTGTGACCTAAGACACAAATCCACCACCCTTTACCACTTGAGCTAGGCCCTGGGGGCAAAAGAAACAAGAAAGTGTACGGAGTTACCCTGATTTCCAACAGGCGATAGACAAAATGAAATCGCTTTTTCAGGTACACAACTAAAAAGAGGTCATCATAGAATAGTATTGGATGGTAGATTAAAACACTGATCAGATTTATTTTAAGCCATGTCTATCTGCGGATGGATGAATCAAAAGTTTCCAACAGACCATCTCTATTTTCTGATAAGTAGGTTTGGCATCACAATTGGTAACACGCGGTATTCAACTGGCAGAAGACAGTTTTAGCTAGTTAATTGAATATCAGAAGCTAAAAAGAAAATACTTCAATTGTAACAATGTCACACATCAAATAGCCTAAAACATACCAATTTTCATGAAATTTCTAGTGCTCCACCACAAACTGATACTAAGCATCGAAGAAAAATAACTTGTGTTCATCGTTGACTTTTCCCTCATAAATGACCAACCAACCAAAAATTAAGAACAAACGAGCAAATAATCATCACAAAAAAGAAGGAACTATTCAAAGCCAGGAACTAACCTCTTTCAGCAAACTCAATAATCCTTTGATATGCAGCTAAACCGAAGAGACAAGATGATTGCTTCGAATCTTTTGAATTTTCACATTACTATTGCAGTCCAGTCCACATCCACATTGTGGACAAACCAAGAAATTGTCAAGTGAAAAGCTTGCAGAAGCAATCCCAACAGAAAACTCAAGATTATCACCATTTTTAACGACTTCCACAATGTTAAGCCACAAAAATAATATTTTTACACTAACACCAGATAAGCTCGTGAGCTTATTTTTAGCTATGTACCCACTGATCCTTGATTTATACCTCAGTTGATAAGAACCTTCTAGAGAGAAACTGCAGGAGCCGTTAAGGTATGCGTTAAATCTTCCGGTGGTTTTATCGAGATCGTAGCCGGTGATGCCTTTCGGGAGAATTCCGACGGGGAAGCCGTAAGACTCGAGTAGGTCGTAAGCGGTGAGGGAAGAGTTACCGTTGACGGCGGCAGCGGTGATTAACGGCGGTAGCGTTGTGAGGAGGGAGACTAAGAGGGGGAACGCGAGAGTGACGGTGATTTGACGAGTAGTAGACATCGATTCGTCGTAGAAAGGATGTTCAGATGCAATTTCTCCGATGATGCGCCGGCGATGTTTGTATTTATATATGATTTTGGGAAAGTTTGGCAGAAGTTTTGTTTTTTAAAAAATAATTTTTCTGGGTAGTTGATGAGAGAGAGACATTATTTGGGTCAATGCCAAACTAGTCTAGATGTCTTGCACAACATTTTTGATTAGGTATTGAATTTAATTTTATGTACTCGAAAGATAAATTATAAGATAAAATCCTCTGATTTGTTATAATAAGACAATCAATATCACAACCAATCAATTAAGTTGTCGTGTTCTGTTTTAAAAGGCGTTTCTGGGGCGAGTCCCGGGCGAGGCGTACCAAAAATGCTCTGGGGCGATGGTGTGGGGCGAAAGTCTTTAAGAGGCGTACGCCCCGCAATTTGGGGCGTATGCTCGGGCGTTCGGGGCGTACACCCGGGCGTTCAAGGCGTATTTTTTTTAGTAAGGAGTAAACTCTAGAGACTTTTTCAAATTAAAATAAAATTTATTGAATTAGTCATTCATATAATACCCAAATTCTCAAAAGTCAGTTTGGTAATTACTCAAAAGGTTTAAAAAAGAACTCAAAAGTATTAAATTTAAAAGTAAAGACCTTTTTTTATTGATTTAAGCCCTAATTCATGGTTTTTCCAATTTGTTATCTTGTCCGCTAGTCTGCTAATATCTCCCAAAACCAAAAAATATTTAATTTTTTTTACAAATACAAAGAGAACTACATTTTTCTTCATAACAGCAAATTCAAAGTTCAAATTGCAGATTAATCATCATTTTTGTTCCTCCATATAGAAAACTCTGTTCTTTTAGACTCAAATTTTTTGTGCTTGTAAGTAACGTATAATAGATTATGTTGATTAGCTTTTTGTGGGGATGGAGCACACATATATATAGTTTTTTTAATTTTTATGCAATTTTACCTGTTTATAAATATTAACTGTCATTATATTATTTTATAAAATATTAAAAATTAAATACCTATGGGACTTACGCCCTACTGAGGTATATGTAAAACGCCCCGTCTTACGCCCACGCCTTTTAAAACACTGGTCGTGTTTGCAAACTCACTTGTAGGCCGTAGCACTTACCTAATTAATGTACAGCTTCACTTCATTCAATCGCTTAATTATAGTAACTTAATATTATTTTTTAGAAATATTGAGTGCTTGTATATAAACTTGTCTACCGTTGGTATTAAAGGAAGAATTGCGAGGATCAACAAAAAATAGAGTAGCCTCCCTAGAACCAGACAATATTTACCAAGGTTTGACTATTATAGTCTATTATTTTAACACAACAAATATTTATTTATCCATATTATTCAAATATGTAAATTTATTTTAAATTAAAAAATATTTAAATTCAAAACAAAAAAAGAAAAATTATATGTTTTGGCCCTCCAAATATAAAAACCCAGTATTTTAATAGTGAACTTTTAAGTAACTCTTTTAGTTATAGTTTCTTATTAAAATTCTTATAGAGATTATAATAATTATTTATTTGCCACGTGGATGTATAAATATATATTACTTTAAGAAGTACACATTTAGGAATTAAAAGATATAAGGGATGTGAATTGAAATATTATATAAGTGGCTAATTTTTCAACTCTTCTTATATTGATAACTTTGGTTACAATTATTAAATGAGGAGGAGTGGGCCAAGCCCATTCTCTTATGGCTGCCACGTTTTAGTGACCTAGTAGAAAATTAGCTTAATGTTATAAAATAAAAGCAACTTAGTAAAACATGAACAAGATATGTTGTTATGAAATAAAAGCAATTTAGTAAAACATGAACAAGAAATGGAGATAGAGAGAAGGAAAAGATTTTCTTCTTCAATTATGTATATTTTCCTATCTATTACAAGACCTTTATATAGGCATGAAAAGTGAAGAAAAATATGTCATTAAATATGTCATTAAGCATTTGAGAAGATCATGGAGAAAAATATGTCATTAAATATGTCATTAAGCATTTGAGAAGATCATGGAGAAAAATATGTCATTAAATATGTCCACCATAATTTAATTTTTCTTATAACACTTAATTAATTTTTCTCGATTTTTGAAACGAAGCAGCAAAGTACTCTAGGGATTTCTACTGGAGAGGCAAACCGTGTAGTTATATTAGTCGGGCATTGTGATTAATCAATTATGATATGTTTTGAATGTGAAATATACTGCAAATATGTTTTGACAAAAAAGAAGAAGTGTAATGATGGCTCAATAATGAGCCATGATGTGATATTAATTAGGAAGCATAATGATGATGCAATGATGGGTAATAACTATTTAGAAGTAAAAGTTTGAGAAATCAGTTATGCATATGTGCAGATTCTCGAGTTGTTCGAATCTTACATATATTGTCTCCGTTTTATAATCTATTTGTACGTTGGCGGATTCACATTTTAAATCATATGGATTCAACTTTTAAAGTTTTTAATATTGAATCTATTATATTTTTATAGTTATGAGTTCATATCTATTATTTTTTATAATTTTAATAAAATTTTACACATAAATTTTTATTCCGCATAAAAAATTATGGGTTCAGTTGAACCTGGTGATACTAGTATACTGGATATGTATAATGAACATTAAGTTTAGATTGAGATATTGGGATATGTCTTTACTTTTAAAAAATAGGGATTTAATAGGTAGAATATTAAGATACAACTCTAAGTTTGTAAGTTAGGGATATTAAGATTTGACCCTAACTAGCATCATTGATATAATTAATTAATATTTTGGATAGATTGAGCCATTTGTAATCACCCGATCAGTCATTTTGTGTATTGAGCCCCGTTTTTCCTTTTGAAGCTTCTCGTACATGTATGTGTAGCTTTATGACTTGCAGGGATAGTTGATTTCGTTTTGGGAAAGTTTTGGAATGATTTGGACCATTTGGTTCTTGGTTTAGAGCTTAAGTTGAAAATATTGACATAGGTTTGACTTGTGTGAAAACGGCCGTGGAATGGTGTTTTGATGGCTCCGATAGGTTCGTATTGTAATTTTAGACTTGGGCGTATGCCCGGAATTAAATTTGGAGGCTCCTAGATTGATTTGACTTGTTTTGCCGAAAGTTGGCCATCGGGTTCAGATTATGGCCATCGGGTTCAAATTTTGGTTTTGAGACTTGGAATAGGTCCGTTTTGTTATTTGGAGCTTGTCTGCAAAATTTGGTATAATTCAGAGTTGGTCTGACGGGAAACAGACGCTTGGTTGTGATTCTAGAGATTTTTGAGTTTTCTTTTGAATTTCATGTGTTTTGATATCCGATTCGTGGTTCCGGATGTTATTTTGGAATTCTTATTGCGCGAGCAAGTTCGTATGATATTTTTAGACTTGTGTGGATGTTTGGTGTGGAGCCCCCGAGGGCTCGGGTGAGTTCGACATGCTTCGGATTGGCCTGAACTCATTGTTAGGTTGTTAGTGTGCTGATGCTCCAGTTATCGCAATAGCGAGCATCAGCCTCGCAATTGTGAAGTAGGCAGGAAGGGCACATGTATCGCATTTGCGATGCCTTACTCGCAATTGCGAAGAAAGGCTTGGGTTGGGTAACGTCGCATTTGTGGAAGGGGCAGACTTCGCAAATGCAAAAATTAATGTCGCATTTGCGACTTCCCCTGTCTTGTGAGGTGCCACATTTGTGAGGGTTCGCAATTAGTTTCAATTGTGATTCGTGCACCTGAACAAAAGGGCTGGAAAAGATGGGACTTATGTCATGGGGCCGTTTTTCTGGGAGCCCGTGAGGACAACAAGATAGCGTGACTATTACTCTTGCTTCAGTCCTAACCAAGAAATAAGTACAATGTCGTGCTTGAACCAAGGCAATCACACAAACTCAAAGGTTGGAAGATAATGAAATGAAAGACAGACAAAGATTGGAGGCCAAGGCCAATTTTCGTGTTTAATTCATATACAAAAGAAGGAAATACAAGTAAAGAGATATGCCCTCTAACAAGGCATATACATGTCTATATATACAATGAATGTTTACAGGCATCTAGGTTGGATGTGGACCCGTCCAGCTGTGGTGCACTGTTTTGTGCTGGCATCATGTGATTTCCAGGTAGGTGTTGGCAGCCCATGTGCCAATGGTCTTGTCCAGTTGTTGTGCCCCAGTTCTTGCTGGCAGATAGTTGCCTCCATGTTCGCCCAGACAAGCTGTGGTCCTACCCAGTTGTGCAGCACATGCCTTTGCTGGCAGTGAGATGCTTCCATGATTGTCCTGGCAGGCTGTGGTCCTGCCCAGTTGTGCTGCATGTGACTTTGATGTTAGAGGGTGGCCTACGTGAGGCCCCGGACAGCCTGTCGGATTGTTGCCTCCATGTGCAAAGACCTTCTGGTCTTTGGTAGCCAAGTTTGGCTCGGATTGTAGCCCTTTAGGTGGCAAATTTGGTCTAAACATATGTGGGTGGTACACACTCCCCCACTTGAAATGGCGACGACCACGGTGCCAGTTCAAGTACTTGATCTTTGAACGGCCACAACGTCTCATATTTTTCCCACGATGCCTCCTCTGGCGGTTGCCCCTTCTAACGGACAAGAAATTGGGCGCTTGAATTTCCCCAACCTACTCCTTGTATCATCCGATGGTTGATAATGGCCTCGACTTTCTTGTCGACGACCAAAGGGGTTATGAAAACATTTGGTCGACTGGATTGCCTCCACCCTATATCACCCTTGTCTCTACAAGGTGCCTCCGACGGACTGACATGCCCCGACCCAAGCAACTCTTCAGGTTGCTTCCTTGAATCCTCCAACTTTGGAGGTGCCATGTATGGACCCATGGCAGGTGGCTTTGCCCACAGTATGAAGTCCTTCTCCTTAAGGACTTGCTGTTTACCAAGAGTCAAGGTTTCGTCCACCTTGACCTCCTTAGTCTCTGTCCCGACTGCCAAAACCGTTTCTCCCTCTCCCTTGAAGCCTTTCATGATTTGAATCGTGGACAACTGACTAATAACTTGCGGCACCCGAACTGTCGGTACTACACATGGACCTTTCGGGTCATAAATGTAGATCTGGTTGAGATATGGGCATATGAATGCCTTCACTGCATCCCAATACTCCAGCCCCAGTACCATATAGAATACATCCAGGAAAGCGACAAAGAAACTCACGTTTCCCTACCAAACTCCTAAGTTGAGTTGCACATT